TGCGGACTTACAACGCTAGAAACCGGGTTTCGATACCCGTGGTGGGCAGAGCACAGATAGCCCTTGTGTAGCTTTTGTGCATAATCAAAAACAAACAAACAAACAATAATATGTTAAAATATAAAATATCGATATTAATATAATCGTTTAAATAATGTATCTAGCTAATCTTTTTCGTGCGGCTTTTTTTATTTTCTTACTTATTCAAGGAAAAGCATAGTTATGGTTTTATATGTTGTTGTTTTTTCAAGAGTTAAGTCACCTTACAGTTTTTCTGTATGGTTGAATTAAATTAAGATAATAAAGGTGTAATTGGGCTCTCAAGAGAATAGTTTCAGTGACAAATATGATCAAGTTTACTTTGTTCTGCTTCCCCCCCCCCCTCTCAGTGGCACGGCTGTATGTTTGTGGACTTCTAACGCTAGAAACCGGGTTTCGATACCTGTGGTGGGCAGAGCACGGATAGCCCATTGTGTAGCTTTGTGCTTAACTTCAAACAAACTTTCTTTTTATTTGTTCCGGCCAGGTAGTTAAGGCGCTTGACCCACCAAACATGCTCGCCCTTTCAGCTGTGAGGACGTTATAAAGTGACGAACAATCCTACTATTCTTTGGTAAAAGTGTAGCCCAAGAGTTGGCTGTGGATGGTGATGATTAGGTGTCATCCCTCTAGTCTTTCACTGCTAGAGTAGAGACGACTAGTGCAAATAGCCCTCGTGTGGCTTTGCGCGAAATTTCAAACAATCCAAACTTATTCGTTTCTAATTTTGAGCTGATTTGTAGACTAAATGGAAAGCAGGTAAGTCAACAGTAGCCATTGCCAACCGTTAGGTTACTCTTATCTGATTTAACCTTCACACTTATAGTGTATCCATAGCCTTAAAATCCACAGTACTTTTTTATGGCAATGGGACGCGAACTATGATTTACAGTCTAGGCACGCTGATTATTATGCCACACCCGGCCCTTGCAGAATTGATATTGACACTTTAAAAAGATACAGATAGAGGAACTTCTATAGCTTTATTATTTTACACTTAATGAAACCTGACATGTGTAAGAAAGTAAACCTTATGTAACACTTCCTTGTTTAAAATGGTTGATACATGGAAAGTTGAGATTTTGAACCTAATTTTGAACTATTGACTAGAGGGAAGGCAGCCATCCGGCAGCACTCATCACATAAAGGCTTTGCTTATCTATTTTAAGCCGAATAATGGAACGCGTTCACAACTGAAAGTGCGGATGGTATTCAGCAGCAGCATGTCTCGAACCCCAGATTCACTTATCCATAGCCCGATATACTAACTATCAGGTCATGTCCGACCTCCGAAAGTGTTTAATACGCTTTTACTTGTATTTTCGCTAACTCGCGCGTAAGAATTGTTCATGGTTGTGCTGTAATTATTAAATATATATATATATATGTCAAATAACAAGTATATAAATGTCTGTATGTATAGTGAAGTCTGAGAAACTCGCCAAATTAAAGCTGTAATGTTGACACATGTGGTTTTTCTTTGTTTTGTTTTTGAACATTTTCGAAATGGCTACTTAAGGCAAGGTATGTAAATAATATATAAACGACCAACACTAAAGTAACTGGTATGGATATACGATAGTAAATTAGATATAAGTTAAACATGTTGATATAGGTTGATATATTCTACATGACTATGTCAGTATGAGTATTCTGAACCTATTTCAGCATAGAAAAACAGTCAAAAATATTTAAACATATTTTTATTTCCCAGAAACATAAAAAAGTCGTAAAGGTACGATACTAATAAAATTATTATATATAATTATAGATGCCACTATATGTCACGTTATCTAACCTGTATAAAAGCCATTGTGTGTCACGTCATGTCGCGCTAGATTTCTTGAAATAAGATGAGTCATAAAAGCCAAAATGCATTTATCCAGATAAAATTATTTGTTTAATGTCCACCCATTACGATTATAGTGACGGGGATTGCCGTGAAACCTTGTAATACCCAGGTGTACACCCTCAGGGTCCACTTAGTATGGGTGTAAAATTTCAGGTTTCTAGCTTCTTTCCTATTGTAGCTATGGCGGTCACACGCACACACACAGAGACCCACAGACACGCTCTTTTATTATTATAGGTAGTATTTGTAATTTACGCTCATAACTTATCGGTGATTTTTGAACTGTTTTAATGCTCGTGGCTGTATTATATTTTCATGTCATGTAGCCTTAAAAACATAATCTTATTCTGCTTGTTCGACAAACTTAATACATAAATATACGCAAAAGCTAGAAACAGACAATACACTAACTAAAAGAAAGGTATGGTTAAGAAACAATAAATATTAGAAAAGCTGTTCATGCTTCTACATAATTTTCTGTGTGGCTATACTTTCAGAACGATCTTGGTTCCGTCATTTTTTCCATTACATCAAGATTTATCCAATGATTTTGATATATATAATTGGATACTTCTTCAATAATAATAATGATTTATTCATGCGATTGTGGTGCTTCTGGATTTGTTTAAAATGTTTCGTTTATATCCGGGTGTACCAGCATTCCGAAGTCTTCCTGACGCCTTCCCAAAAAACTATAGATCCTTAACTTAAATATATGAAAACCATACATTGAAAATCTTATGCAACTCTGAAATTCAGCGTGTTTATAATTATCAGTTAATTCCTAATGCGAAGAAAACTTAAAATTCTGATGCACTACATTGATATCTGAGAAACTGAAATCTTACCCACTTCTTTAAACATGGTCATTGCTGTACACGTGCGTAGACAGAACACACCCCTTGTGTAGCTTTGTAGAAAAATAAACAGAAATACACTTTGCAAATAAAATGTACGATTTCTAGACGTCGAAGCTTTAAAATGTTGTCGTTTTTAATAGATCAGGATGCGTTTTAATATAAGGTTTATTAATTTATTCTTGTACGTTTTTTTTTCTGTTTAAGACGGCATGACCAGCATGCATTTTTAACATGTTTAATCATAAATATGTTTGTCGTGTAATTATAAGATTTATACTGAATCACGTACTATAATATCGTTCTTTGCTCTTCTAAAAAGGCCTGACATGGCTTGGTGATTAGGGCATCAATTTGCCGTCCGCGGGTCGCGGGATCGAAAGTCTTCCTCGAACGTGCTAGTCTTTTCAGCTTTTAGGCTATCATAATGTGATGGTCAATCCCATCAGAGTACTTGACTCGCAGTCCGTAGGATCGAAACTCGTTTTCGAACATACTCGTCTTTTCAACTATGAGGACATCATGATGTGACGGTCAATCAAACTTTCATTGGTAAAAAGTAGCCTAAGAATTGATGGTGGGAAGTGTCTTCCATCTAGTCTATCACTTTAAAATTAGGGGCAGCTAGTGCAGATAACCTTCCAGTAGCTTTACTCAAAAATTCAACAAAAGAAACAGTCTTCTAAGAAATGAACGTTATGCCCACTTCCTTTCATTGTGCAACATTTTCCTTTCATTGTGCAACATTTTCCTTTCATTGTGCAACATTTGCACGGCTACTGATATTTCAAAGATATGAAGATGTTCTATTTCCCGTGAACATTCAGAGTATTTAGACTTTCAAAGCCTTCCTGTTAACTAGTGGTGCTCATAGGATTTTCAAAGAACACTAATTGGGGGTGGAAACACCATGGTAAATAAGCATTTTTCCGGTTTGTTCTCTCAACTTGTTAAGGCCACATTAAACAACGCTCGTTTCTCAAAACTTTAAGTTGTCCACATGAAGAGTTTGTGATGTTAAAATGGACATTCATGGTGAAACGTTCACATACCTAATTCTTTGAAAATACTATAAATCACGTAGACCACAAGAAAATTATATTTCAAATTTTAATTTAAAATTTCTTTTATGCACTATATTTAATTAGCTATGCTTATTACTATGTACTCGATTTTAGCTCTATGGAGTTAGCTTGCTTTGCTCGGAAGTTAATTTTAATCCTGGTATATGCCAGTTTTGCAAAGTTTAGATTAATTTTACTAACTAATTTCACGTAGTAGCTAGCATAAAGGTTAACAAGTACAAGGCGTTCATCGCCTATATGCATAAAATGCAAATTGGCAGTATACAGAAGGTTAAGCATCTAGCTTGAAATACTAGGGCGCTGGCACCCGCTGGTTTTATTAACATGTTTTAGCATAATGATAACAACCGAAAATATAGCTTCCATCCTGTACAGGGTTTACAGTTTTTTTAATGATTTTCAGCCTCACTACCATAAAAAGTGTTCCAGAACTGCTGCGGTTGTGTACTTAAAACGATTTTGGAGCCTAACCACAGCGTTACCGTCCATGTCGCCACATCCAGTCATGCTTTATCTGACGACCATGTATCATGATAGTGACTCTGCAGCGTAGTTTCCATTCGAAAAATGGAAACGACTTTGCCATAAGGCTATCGTGTCCAAAGAACACCATTACTTCCTGCAGCCGATACATAAACCACCCAGTTTACGAGGATGCCGGTTTCCAAGCACCTGTTTCAGCAGCCTGATCGCACAGAAATCCATATCCGCTGCATTCGGTGACTTGACTAGTATGTTTCATAAGGAACATAATAAATACTCATTTCATTATCAGCTGTTGAAGTATGCAACAGTTGAACGGGAACTATGACTTTGAAGTCATATCTTGGTGAACCCATTCTCTTTTAGCTTTGTCCTAAGTTTAACTGTGCTGCCCAGCATGGCCTGGTGATTAGGGCGCTTGACTTGCAATCTGAGAGTCGCGGGTTCGAATCCCCGTCACACCAAACATGCTCGTCCTTTCAGTCGTGGGGGCGTTATTTGATGACTGTCAATCCCACTATTCGTTGGTAAAAGAGTAGCCCAAGAGTTGGCGGTGGGTGGTGATGACTAGCTGCCTTCCCTCTAGTCTTTCACTGGTAAATTTGGGACGGCTAGCGCAGATAGCCCTCGTGTAGCTTTTCGCGAAATTCAAAACAAGCCAAACCAATTTAACTGTGCATGGCAAGAAATGATTAACATAGTTTAAAGATAAAATGACGACCTTCATTATCTTAGGGAAGCCCCCCCCCAGTAGCACAGTGGTATGTCTGCGGACTTACAACGCTAGAAACCAGGTTTCGATACCTGTGGTGGGCAGAGCACAGATAGCCCATTGTGTAGCTTTGTGCTTAATTTCAAATAAACAAACAAACAAATCTTAGAGAAAAATTGAGGCTTATAGGGAAAGTTGTAAAATAGATAGTATACGATACACCCATTTTTTAAACTTTATGTTGGAGGTAAGTATACCCATTTTCAGTGAGAGTTTCATCTTTTTATTCTTTACTGTTGCTTGTTGTCACATTTCATTCGTCCTCAGTGGTGAGTTTACGGACTTGAAATTTAAAAATTCGGGGCTCGATTCTCCGCAGTAGACAGGATGCAGATAACCCCTCATCCAACAGCAAATAGCAACATTCCATTTTATTCATCGCTTTCAACGAAACGCTTTTTAAAATGATCTGTCCGAAGACAGTGTCATTGTCGGCTTGTTTCTTTAAGGTTAAATGTGTGTGTAATGATTCTTCAGCATTTTAGGGATATGTAATTAACTTTCTTGGTTATGTTTTTACTCATGTTTTCTCGTGTCATTCTGTCTTGTTTATTTCCACGAGATGGAGCATACGGGTCGTGCAAAATTAGGACGTTTTTTTGTTAAATAAGTATTTTTCTTAATGAATCAATATGGCAGCTGTTTTATATATAATCCCTGTGTATTACGTCATGGCTTTTTACTCCCTTTATTCTTTTTATTAAGTGTAACTTTTCCCGAATGGAAAAGGAGTGGTAGACAGAGGAAATGTATTTCAGTTGCCAAATTTATTGACTCTTGGATCTCTTTCAGCCGTGACTTCATGACTCTAAGGTCCAAGCATGTGTGTAACTGCCATCCAATCCATAATGTTTCTGAAACATCTGTGTTTTTGCACTCTTTTCACCTATTAAAAAAATCGCACTATTTTGTGAACTATCATTAATATATATACACACGCACACTCATTGTGGTCCAAAAGTTTGAGTCCATGTTTTATTCGTATATGTTAAAATTTATTAAAACATGATGAAAGAAAATTATAAAGAACAAGGTTTGTTTGTTTCGAATTAAGCACAAAGCTACACAATGGGCTATCTGTGCTCTGCCCACCACGGGTATCGAAACCCGGTTTCTAGCGTTGTAAGGCCACAGACATACCGCTGTGCCACTGGGAGAGGGCAAAGAACAATGTATTATCATCAAAACGAATTATCAATTATTTATAAAACCTCCCTTTGGAGACAAGTCTTATCTTTCTTCCCTTAACCCATTCCAGCATCTTTTTTACTATTACTTGCCATATAATATATTGTAATATTATTTATAATGCACCAATCACTCCTAACAATGTGATTTTAATTACTATACTATTTTCAGTTACAGATGTTTGAATAATATTGTTGTTATTAATCGCTGTTCAAGGAAGTTATACATTACAATAACGGCATGTTTCAATAAGGAAATCAATTTCAAAAGATCTTTGACTTAGTTGAGAATAGTTTTAGATTTTTAACAGCAAGTTCTAAAAGAGCAGTGCAAAGGTCGTGGCAAAATAATAAAGAAGTTGACTAGTGCCATGGAAAACCGCCACATAAGGCTAGCATTTTAGTGTGACAGGCATAAAAGCACATCACATATTGTTTGTTTGTTTTGAAGTTAAGCACAAAGCTACACAATGGGTTATCTGTGCTCTTCCCACAACGGGTATCGAAACCCGGTTTTCAGCGTTGTAAGTCCGCAGACCTACAGCTATGCCACTGGGTGAGGGTGCATCACGTATTCGAGTACAACTGAACGTTCAACGTGACTTAGCTATTAGCAAAACTACAATGAATCAAAAACTTGCAAGTTTGGATTACATGGAAAAGTTTCATCCTCTAAACCATTACTAAGAAAATTAAATAAAGCCCAAGAATTAGAATGGGCCCGAAACATGGGAACAATTTGCACTGAAGATTTGAAGAATGTGCTTTTTTACCGATGAGTCAAAATGTGAGATTTTTTGAAAATCAGAAAGCAATACATGTGACGAAGGTTTGGTGAAAGTGTAATACCAAACTGCATACACTCTCCTTTAAATGTGGTAGAAATTATTTTCAGGTTTGGGGCGTTTCAGTGGCGAGGGGGTTGGAGGCTTACATAAAGTTAACAATGTCTTCACCAATACTATGATATTTGGAGTGTACAATAGACAAAGAAAGAAAACTTTCGTAGATATTACTTATTAAAGAAACGAAATTTCTTCTCCAATCATCAGATTTAAATCCTGCCGAACATTTATGGGAACATCTGAAGAGGCAGAAAGAAAAACGACAGAAAACAAGCCTCAATACCCTTTGCTTCACCCTTCAAGAGCGTTGGAATAATATTTATAAAAAATCAGTTATTGATAATTTGGTTGAATAAATGAAAGACAATGGGGTAGCTATAGCGGTTTACGTAATCTTTACATACTAATCCAAACAATTTGGAACTAAAATTATTGAAATACTAGCAGATGCCCGTTGAAACAATTCAACGGCAATTTTCCTAAAAAATACTGATAAATAAATATAAAATTTGCATCCAACCCGAAGGATGGATGGAGGTTGTTTTCACCCCTGCGAGTTTGTCAGCAAGATTTTTCGAAAACGGCTTAATAGATTTGGACGAAAATTAGTATACACTTGGACTGTGACGCAACTTAGAAGTTGATTAGCTTTGTGGAGGTCAAAGGTCAAGGTCGCGAAATTCCCTGGCTGTTAACATGGAGACCGATTTTTCACTCTAATTTTGCACTATAATTTGGTCAAAAAGACCGGATTTTGATGAAACTTGGTGGTCATGTGTAGAATATTATTCCTAATTGTCCTGCCAAAAATGGTCCGCGTCCGTTGATAACGACAGACATACAGACACATTTTCGTATATGATGAACGTTGTATGGCGGAGGTATGCGCTCTATTAAGTGGTTTATTTATGTTATCATCGTTTCTAGTTGTATCACGCCTTCTATTGTCCTATAAATCATGGAGCACTTTTTCTGCATTTTCTGAAAGGAAAGAAAAAATGACTAATGTTTTTAAGTTTGCTTATTTTCGAGTGTGTCTATCTTATAAATATTCATAAAATTTCAAATTTACGCTTAAACTGAGGCTCAAGAACCATACTGTGGTCGCATACTTGATACACTGCTTAGTAAGTCAACAAACTTTTATTTTATTTTTTTCGAATGTGGAAATACTAGAGTTAGGGGCAGTAACTTTTAATTCCTGAGTGCGCCAAGCTGTGTTCACATTTATTGTCAAGTTTTTATGGGGCATCGGATTCTTTACAGTAGGTGTCTGTGATTTGTCGGCGATAAATTTCAAAAATAAACAGACAGCACACAATCCACTTGTTGTAAAATAATATATGTTCGAAATAAGTCAAACGTATATATATAAAAATACGTTACGCTAGTTTACCACAGTTGTATCCAGAGCTTTAAATAATTCTCTTGTACGCCAAAAGTATACACAGACTGGTTCAAATACTTTATAACCCAATTGAAAATACGAATTATTCTTTCCTATCTATGTTTTTATAATACAAACTGTGAAACTTTCTCTTTAGAAATCGCACGTTACGGTTAAACTGATAATCACGCAGTTTAACTTCACTTTCATTAACTTACTTTGCACTTGCACTCTGTATCTGCACGTATTTATAACACGCAACAGAACAATCTAGAAATATCTAGCCCTCTAGTAACAACGATATTAAACATTACGAGAAAGACTTAGAAACTTCGAGTAAGAGGACGTCACAATATTACAAAAGCCTAGTACAACAACTATATACACAATGTACGACTCGTACAGAGTTACATAGCGCAACTTGTCATAACTATCGCTTTTAAAATAATTAACTTTTAACACTCTTGTTATGAAAAATAAATAATTATTAAACATTGAATCATTAAATAGACTAAATAATAACTCTTAAACTAAACAGTCTTGTGTATCCAACATTTATTATGGTGTTAACAATTCAAATTAGGAACAACTAAAGTGATATCATTCATGATCTAATGCTGTTGATCATCCCTGTTCGACCATCTTGATAAACACAACGCTATTAAATAAATGAAATGTGCTCATTGTCCAAGTTATTGACTCGCTGTGAGCCGGAACCGAATACGCCATCAAGTAGCTGAACCGAATGACTTGATGGCCTGTTTGTGCGCTGGAGTTTCGCAATTCGCGGAACGCGTCTCGCGGGTTCAATCTCATCGCTGAACATGCTCGCCCTTTCAGCCATGGACGCATTATAATGTTATGGTCAAAATCACTTTTCGTTGGTAAAAGAGTAGTTCGAGAGTTGGCAGTAAATGGTGTTAACTAGCTACCTTCCCTCTAGTCTATCACTTCTGAATTAGGGACGGCCAGGAGAGAGAGCCCTTGAGTAGCTTTGCGTGAAATTCAACAAAACAAACAAAAGCTGTGCCGGAAATGAGCATGCTATAAAATAGCTGATCTGGAGGTGAGCATGCTACCAAGTAGCTGAGCCGAAAGTGTGGAGGCTATCAAGCAGCTGAGCCGGAAGTGTGCATGCTATTAAGCAGCTGAACCAGAAGTGTGCATGCTATTAAGCAGCTGAGCCGGAAGTGTGCATGCTATTAAGCAGCTGGGCCGGAAGTGTGCATGCCGTAGATCAGTGCTTCTCAACCTTTTCCAATATCATTTACTTCTATAAGTTTTTCACTACAGCTCACCCCCCCCCCCAATTAAAAAAAAGACAAAAAAATAACTACATTAAAAAGTGAAGTTCTTTATTATGACATAAAATAAACACAAAATAAATTTATTTATCAAACTACAGCGAGAATGAATAATAATAATAACTAATGAATCTTTTGATCTTGAATTTGTTGTATAATTGATAATATTCATTCACCTCCAAAGTTCTTATTCACCCAGATTATGATCTCATTAACCCCCTGTGTGAACTATTCGCCCAGTTGAGAAGCACTGCCGTAGATAACATTAGATTCATAATATAACTGTTATTGTGTATTGTGATATAATCAGTTCTCCTTTATTACCACAGACAGTATTATAATTGCAAGACGCGATTTCCAATGAGAATGTATTTTTGATTCAGGAATCTACAAGTCAAGCTCAATGGATCAGCAATAAGGAAAAGTAGTAGAAAAAGTTATTTTCTGCTATTTATGAAGCTCTTTTATGCTTCAAATATTAACGTTTCTCTTCATATATATATATATATATATATATATATATATATAA